AACCTTTGTGCTTGCGTGTTTTGTGTTTCCCCCCCCCCCCCCGGCCGGCAGGTGCTGTTCGTGGCCATCAACTGCTGGTGGAACCACGGGAAGTGCAGGAAGCAGAAGCATTTCTTCTACTTCCCCGTGATATACTTGTACCATCAGAGGTGAGAGCTTCAGGGAAGTGGACGTTGGGGCTGCGATGGGGAGGGGGGATCGCACAGGATGACCGCGCCTTTCCGGCTGCTCCGCGGCTCTGACTCTGCCCTTCTGGGCTGGGCAGGGAGCTCCCGCAGGGCAGGCTGAGAAGGGCGTCAGGGTGACGGTGGGCTGATCAAGCCTCCGAGCCCCTCTCTTGTTGTGGGGCTGGGGGTTGCACGGTGACCTCTTGCCCATCCAGGGCTAGTTACCTCTATCTAAGGCTGAAATCAAAGTGCTTTCCCATTTATATTCGATCCTTCCTTGGCAGACCATCCTGGTCTTTGATGCTGACTTTGATTGCCAGCTCCAGCCTTTCTCAGCATAGGAATTCAATTTGCGTTGGCAGACCTCTGACGTGACTTGTATTTTCTTTAATGCCAGCTTTGGGCCCATTGAATACAAAGGTCCAATGAACGCTGTTTACATTGAGAAATTTGTTCGTCGAGTGATGACTCCTCTCCTTTACATCTCATCTCAGTCCAAACTGCAACGGTTTCTCTCCAATTACGAGGTAACCTGATCTGCTCTCAGGGGTCTTTGTGCCAGGCCCTCCAACTTGGGGCCCGTTGCTTTCAAGGGCAGCCTTATCACTCACTGCCAAGAGGAGACCTGTTTTCTTTGCAGGCTCCTAAGAAGTCTGAGTTCCTCATTGCAACTTTTTAAAGCTAAGAGACTGGCTGACGTCCTTCCTAGTCCTTCCTAACTGGCCGAGTCCATTTCTTTCTGGCAGCATTTGGAAGAGGGCTGTGGCTCTGGGGGAGAGTTCAGCATGGATACACAATAAAATAGCATTCTGAAAGTCGGGAACCCACGTCAACTAAGGTTATCGCTGGGCTAAAGTAGCTTATTAAATTAATGAAACAGTTACATCTGTATGCATTTTCAAAGCAAAGGTTTTAAACACAAGGATGTATTTCCTCTGAAGTTTGGGGGTGTTTTTGTACATCACAGTTGGCAGCATCTCAGAAGCAACTTGTCTATGTGGCAGTGAAGGGAAAGATTTGTGTACGGGCAGAGTATCTGCCCTCCCCCCCGCCCCCAGTTTTGAAATTATTTTTTTTATATGTTTCAAGGTACAACAATTAGAAGAGAGCAGGGAAGATCTGCCACCTGGGTGTTTCAGTTGCTATTTTTGTTTTCTGATTCTGCCTGCCCTTTTCTGCAGTTCCTTGCCTGGGCCTTCTAAGCTGAGTTTGGCCGTGGTTTGCAAGCTTTCTCTGCTGCTCCAAGCCACAAGAGGGAGCCAGCTGGAAAGGCAGGAGTGTCTCTGAATGCACGGGTTGATTGATTTTTCTGCCAAGTCTTTCTAGCTGTTTCCACTCCCCCTCCCCAAAATAGGTTGGCCTCGTGACCGTCCTCAGGGCCTTCAGGCGCAGAGCCGGAGTTTAAATTCCCCCAGCTCTTGCAAGCTTAGGCGTTCTACGGCCATTGGCTGTATCTTGTGCCTTGCGCAAATTCTGTCCTTTTTGTAATTGGATGCGTGTAGTCTGCCTTCCAGCTCTTAATTTGCATGCTAGTGTTCTGTGGAAGGCAGAGTGGAAGGCTTTTAGATACCCCAAAGCTGCCTCCCTCCCTCAAGGGTGTCCTTGCCTGCTCTGGCTGGCAGCAGCGACTCTCCTGGACTTCCCAGAGTGCTCAGCGAGGCGTCCTGGCCGCTCTCCCTGCGAAACGGACTTGCCACTTTCGTTTTATGCTGCCCCTGACGCTTTCTTGTGCCTTTTGCAGCCCGGCGTCTTGGGATACTTCGAGTTCAATGCCTCCCCCCAGCCCCCGGGCTATTTGACGTTCTTCGCTTCAGCGCTGCACTCGTTAAATAAAGGTCAGTGAAGAGGTTGCCCAAACGCAGCTCAGGCCGCTCCTGATGGCTTGTCACCTTTCTGGCTTTTCACTTTTAGCAGAAGCAAGGACGGGAGAATTCTTTACGTAACTGGAAATGGTGTGAAAATGAGAGCAGCCCAAATGGTTGGGGGAGGCAGAGAAATATGGGGGGCTGTCATTTGGAAGATGGGGAAATAAATGGAAAGAGGTGATACGTGAGTGTAAAACATACACGAGAAAAGAAGCTGGAAGGGGAGAAAGCTTTCTCATATCAAAAACCAGGGTGGCCTTTAAGGAGAGTGTGGGGGGTGGGATTCAGGAATTCCCAGTGGAGGGGAGGAAGAGGTGGGGGCAGCACTAGAATGGAAGCTTCTTGCATGTGGGGGTGTTCCTTGGGCCAGGAGGCTTTCAGCTGGGGAGCAGAAGGCTTTGTCAGATGTCCCTCGGTCTCTGTTGTGCCTGGGAATATCGAGGTGACTTTGGATTTGGTAAATCTGCAGTGGATTTGCTTGGAGCTGGATGGGCTGCCAGCTGGTCAGCCTCCTACTCCCCATGCTGCAGCTTGACTTGCACAGAGGTTCAGCACGTTAAGAGACATGACACTCGCAGCCAGAAACGCTGAGATTTTCTGTCATGTTGAAAAACGTTAAGGAAGTTCCACTTGCCTGGCTGGATTAGGAGGTTGCTGGGGAAAACCCAGGCAGGCCTTCCCTTCCCCCGATGGTTTGGGGCAGGATGCCCTGGGGAGTTCTCCTGCGCCAGGCCCACTGCAGTGGACAGTTCCTTTGCGCCGGGCAAAGCTCGTCTGCTTTTCCACAGCCGCGGCAGCTGCTGCCTGGGAAAGAGTGTTCTGGGTTGAAGCAGACAGGAGTCTGCCAGGCCGGGGGCGGAGAGCAGGGCTGGGGATTTGGGACAGTCGGATGCCGTCGATCTGGATGAGCCAAGCTCAGATTTCCAACGCAGGCGACCCTGGGCTTGGCTCGTCTCGGGAGGACAGTCAGACATTAACGCAGAGAGCAAGAGGGGGTTGCTTCGAGTAACGCTCGGGAGCAGAAACAGAGCAGCCTTCCCTCCGTCCCACTCTGAGCTTTAGAGCGCTCTTCCGAGCCGGCCTCGGCTGACCTGCGGGGTTCCCTTCCGCGCTGGTTTTGAGGCCTTTCCCAGAAATGCCGCCAGGCTAAGGAGCTCGCTGGTCAAAGGGTCGTTCTCTCTCTCACGCAGCTGCTGCTCCTCTCTTGTGCTTGTAGCCTCCTTTCAGGCCCCACGGATCCTCTCATCGGGGGCACCCTTTCCACCAGCTTGCTCCTTGGGGGCTGGGGAACCCGACACCGAGGACACAAACCCAGGAGGGGCCGTGCCATATCAGGCGGTGGCGCATTGCATCCAGAGGTGAACGTGGCTTTCAGGGAGATGCCTTTTTCCGGTTTCCATGACAACAAAGCAGCCACTTCACAGGATGACAAAGAGCGCAGCTGGATGCTCGTGCCTGGTGGGGACTCCCAACTGTGGGATGTTCCTCTGAGAAGGCAGCTCTTGCGGCCCTTCCTGCCAAGGGCATTTCGTGAGGAGCTCTCACAGCTTGCGTGTGCGATGGATCTCCACGCCCAGAGAGCTGGAATTGAGGCTCTTGGCTGTCAGGTGTGGGATTACCTGCTTCATCTGTTCTGAGCATTTGTCAAAATGTGTGTGAGCGCCAGGAATCATCCTCGAAACGTGTTGTTTTTTCCCGTTCTGAGGCCTCCATTGCAAGGCAGCGCTTCACCTCAAGGAAGGCGCTTGTCCTGAATGAAGTAACAGTCCGGCTAGTTTGGCGGCAGCCAACTGGGGTCTTCTAGAAGCCCGTGCTGTTCCGATGCCCCATTTCTCTGCGTGCTGGCTGGGATGTTGGGAAATGGTGGTGGCTGTTCAGGTGGCACACACAAGCCTAGGTAACCATGCAAGGAGGATTAAAAACACCACACTAGTGTGGTAAAAGAGGGGGAGACTGCTGAGCCCAGGAGGAAGCTGACATAATTAAGCCAGTCCCACTGGAGACTGACCATCCCTCCCTCCCTCCCTCCCTCCCAGTCCAGTCCCCACGCTAAGCACAGCCTGGCAGAGGGAGGGGATGGGTTAAACTCAGTGGTACAACTGGAGAATTTGCCCAAGGGGTGCCGGGCTCTTGGGCTGCAGGGGCTCCTTTCTGTGGCTGTTCAGCACCCAGCAGGATTTGAATTCCCATGAGCCCTTCCTGGCTCCATGGCAGCCGGATATCAGAGCCTGCAAGGCAGAGGCTGGAGGCTGGGAAGCCCCACGCTCTTAAAAGATACTGGGCTACAAAGGCTATGTGAAGCTGGAGGCCGCCTGCACCAGAAGCAGATTTGGGAGGTAGTCAGAGAAAGCTGAAGGTGGGCGGTCGGTGTTTGTGGGTGCATTTATTTTCCGAAGGTCCCCTTCTGGCTGTGTGGGCTCCTGGGAAAAGCCAGCTGTGGCACAGTTGTTTTTCTCACAGGGTTTCTGATGCATTCTTACAGATTATCTTGGAACCATTCACTTTGGCGTGATCACAGATAGGCTGCTTGCAAAGGAAATTGCGTTGACCAACTCGGGCAGCATCTACTTGCACAGACATGTCAATGCGTCACTTGTGAGTACCGCTGTTCCCGGTCCACATCCCGAAAGTGAGCTAGTGCAGCTCAGGTTGCCCGGCGAGCGTTCTTCCTGCTTGGCTGGAGGCCCTGCCCTTGCCCACAGGCCCAGGCACCCTCCTCACCCTGGACGGGAAGCAGCTGCTTCCGGGTTCAGAACCCAGAGGGCCCTGAAGCAGCTTTGGCAAGCCGAAGGAAGTGCCTGATAAAAGAAGCAAACCTGTTTCTCAGGACCGTGGTCTGTATCCAGAAGGCATACAGCGTTTAGCCAAGTAGTTAAATGAAAACAGCAAAAAGCATTTTGTTGCTTTCTGCTACATTTCAGCAAGCACAATCCCGGACTGCTCAAATGTTTCTGTGTTGGGAGTCAGATTTGTGCTGGCTGGCCCCTTCCCCTTTACCTACCGAGGGGGAACACTCTGAGGAGGCAGGACCAGGTGGAACGGAAGGGGCCCTCCGGAAAGGGTCTTCCGCTCGGCTCTCCCAGTCCAGTGATGCGGAAGTGGGGCTGCAGATGAAAGAAACCACGTAGTTCCAGGGCCTGCAGGATAACGTTATCTGTGGGTAAAGACAATCTTCTAACTTCCGGGTAAAAAGGCCAAGCCCTGAAACACTTCCTGAGAAACAAGTCCTGCTTTTTGTCATGGTTTGAATGACCTGATAGCAAAGTAGGCTGCTTTCAAACCGGTTTTTTTTCCTGCAGCCTAACCCACACAGTGAGTAAAAACCCAAGTATGCAGACCTATCTAAATTTTCTGCTTGTTATACATTACTAATTTTTTCTCTGGCCCCTGAAACTCTACTGTGTGCAGTCAAGCTTTAGAACAAGGGTAAAGTCAGCAGATTAAAAACGTAAAACGATCTGGGATTAGCTCATTTTTAAAATCGGCTCGGCTCCTGGGGCATTAAATGTGATTTTGCCAGGCCTGTCCAGGACCACAGTATCAGGAGCAGGCTTCTCCTCCTCTCTAGCTTAGGCCCCACTTTTGGAGATGTTGGGCAGGATCTCTTGGAGGCAGGGGGATCCTGCCTGCCCACCTGCCTGCAGGCTCTTTTCCTTGGCAAGGGCTGTTTTAGGAGCCATGCTGGGAATCAGCCCAGTTCCTTGCATCGGGCAGGGAAAATTTTCTTTCGTGCATGGTCTCCTGGCTCAGCTTGTTTGGCATCCTTGCAGGGGCTTTCAAGTACAGGCCCTGGGGTCCCAACAGCGGGGGGGACCCTCCGCCGATAGTTTGTCTGCATCCCATCAGGGGATCAGTCCAGTTGCTCACTCTGTCTTTGCCTGAGAACTGACTTCCCTATCATTTTAGTTCTATCCCCATGAAACCATGAACTTCACTGCTGAAAACATTTGGAAGTGGGCCCTGGAGAACCGGGAGACGTTCCTGCGCTGGCTGAGACCCCACGGAGGGAAGAGTCTTTTGCTGTACAATGAGCTGAAGAAGGGGCCAGCCCTTTTCCTCTTCCTCCCCTTTGACCCCTTGGCCGACAGCCACCCTCTCCTGGACGAGGTGCGTAAATGCTGACTTGTCAGGGCCCACGGGCCGCTGGCTGCCCCTGGCCAGGCCCTCCTCCTCAGCCTAGCCCACCTTAGAGGAAAGCAGGACGTTAAGGGCTACCAGCTGACCAGCTGCCTGAGCCAATGAAAGAATTGCCAGTCCTTTTCAGGCTCAGGCGCTCAGCCCAGAGAAGACTTTGCTATGCCGTTGGAGGGCATGCCCCCTGCCCCCCCTGCCTTGTGTGCGCGAGAGACCTGCGTCCTTGCGGGACTCAGCCCTTTCCACGCTTGTTCGGCTGGGTTTCCTTGCTGGGTTTTCTGTCCTGGTTGAATCCTGCTTACGCTTGGCCTGGCTGGACCACCTGAGGTTTTCCAGGGGCACCTGGGCAACTTCTTTCCCGAAAGGAGCAGCGCCTCCTCGGAGCCATCCCAGGCAGCTTTGTGGGAAGCCTCCGCTGTGCGGCTCCTTGGAGTCCTCTCAGGAAGCTGGGTTAGAAGCCGGCTGGAGGGCCTCTGCTTACCTCACGGTGCGGTCTGTGAGGGCCAAGCCCAGAGTCACAGGAGACGTGGAGCCAGAAGCAGTGGGGCGGCCTCTTCGGTCCACCTCACTGTAGCCCGTGCCCTCGGTGGTGCAGCTGTCCCTCCTTGGTCCTGTGGTCCCCCAGGTAGGGTCACCCTTGGAGGATCTGCAGTTCAGGAAGCCTCTTGATGGGGCTGAGGCAGAATTTTGGATCCGAGCCATCCTTCGGCCGAGCATCCCAGAACAGCAAGCCCAGGGAGGAGGCAGCCCGTGATGGCTGCCAGCCGGCTTAGCTGCCCTCTGGGATCTTAGGCCCAAAAGCCTCCTGGAGTTTGGCCCCTGTGCTCTGCCACAGCCATAGGCGCCTCTTGGCCCCAGCGCTGCTTGCTTCCGCTGTGATGGAGTGTCCCAGTAGGAGCAGAGCCATTGTTTGGTGTTCTTTTCTTTCCCCTAGATTTCCAAACTGGCTTTGGAATACAAGAGCTGCAACAGAAGTCACAGAGAGGACGTGGACCCCCAGCACCTGCAAGGAGGAGACCCCTCGGCTGTTGGCCTCCGCCTCCCTGTGGCCGAAACCATCTCCAGCACCAGCCCTCCTTGCTGCAACACAGTGTTGCTGCCTGCCCAATGGCACGGCCTCTCCCGGACTCACAACGTCTGCGAGCTGTGCGTCAACCAGACGGGCGGGGTCAGGCCCAGCCCCCTGGTCCGCTTGCACTGCAACTTTGTGGACATCAAAGCCGCCGTGGACTCGTTCTACCTCAAGGAACAAACCTTTTTCCATGTCGTGTCAAAGACGGTTTCTTCGTGCAGCAACTTCCTCAGTTTCTACAGCCCTTTCAGCTACTACACGGCATGTTGCAGGACAGTGAAAGGGGATCTGCTGAATTTTGTCACCTCTGAAAAGACAACTTTCCATCCACTGGAAGTCACCTTTGCTTCCCACGGGAAGAGTTGGACAGACAACCCCCCCGGCTCTATTCCTCACATTGAGGAGAAGGTGGGCCCCCACGGCTCTGCCGCGACCGGTCTGAGCTGCAGGACCAACAAGACCCTGAACCTGTACCTGCTGGATTCAAACCTCTTCTGGCTGTACGCGGAGCGGCTGGGCGCCTCCGGGTCTTGCCCAGTGAAGGAGTTCGCTGCCATTGTGGACCTCAGAGAAGAGGTGCATTATGTCCTGGGCCAGAAACAGGCCCTCTTGAAATCCAGCCTGGGTACGGCCTGCCTCTGCCCCACCAGTCCCACCTTTGCGGCAGGGGTGCGGGAGGAGGAACGGCAGCTGCGTTTCACTCGGAGAACGACATGATTTCTCTTCAGCTCTGGTTTCCTTTCCTTCAAAGCTTTTATGCCATGGTTTATCCCAGGTAGATTCAGAGTAGATTACAAACCAGATCTGCCAGGCCAGGAACGGGTGAGCTGCCAATGAGGGACCTCTTTGGTCTGGGTCCCCAAAAAGCGGCTGTGCCACTTTCCACCACTGCAGCGTCGCAGTCAGAGAGCTGCGCTCTAGCTGCGCGTGGCCTCTGGACCAGGCTTGGCTGAGGCGTCGCACGGCATGTCTGCATGGGGTCCTAGGCCGGCGCTGGCTGCCAGGAACATGGCTTTCCCTGTGGCGGTGCCCATCTTCTGCTCCCCCTGCCCTGTGCGACCCACTTAGCTTCCTTCCCCAGGACAGTGGAGGGAGCAGCTCTTTGGGCTTTGGCATTTCTGGGCATTGCAGCCACCAGTTTGGGTGAACCGCCTCCTTTTTCACTATTTTTACTTTTTAGTCATTAGATGCCTTGCAGGATGGAGGAGGGGAGAGGATCCCCATTTGTGGATCGATAAGGCAGTGTAGTTCTTTTAATACATTTCCATTTATTTTGCCAGCCCCTGCTCTCCCTGGAAAATAACACAGAATTATTTTTTTTTATTCCAAGCCCGCCACCACCGAGTTTGTAATAGAATAGAAGGAAGGAAACAACAGTGTGATATGTGTGTTTGTAGGAACAGTAGAAGTGTGCCGGACATGGCCGAATTCTGCACTCGGTAAATTCAGTAAAGGAGAAAGGGTTTTTCAATTCTAGATCTTGTTTCGTTGACCCATCGGTAGATCTGGAATGTCCAACTGACTTCCTGACTCTTGCTTTTAGAAACCTTCATCCAGAACTACAGTGTTTTGTACAGTCCCTTGAAAAGGCATCTCGTCGGTGACCCAAGGCCCAACCAGACTCCCGCGCAGCACCTTGTTCAAGAAGTCACCACCAGCACTTTCCGCGAGCTGGTATTAAGGAGTCCAAAGGTAATGCTGGCATTGTGCCCAAAGCTCGTTTTGGGTGCTTCTTTGCATCCCAGCTGTCTTGGGCGGCTTCCCCCTTTTACCTTGGAAAATGCTGACGCCTTTCTGGGGAGCAGCAGCCACATCTGAGACGAGACAGGGCGGGGAAGCGGGAAGGAGGTTGGGGCAGGTCCAGGTTGGGGCCATCTGTCTTGCTGCAACTGTGAAATGTAGAATTGGAGGCTAACCTTCCTCAGCCTGATGATGTCCACACTGTGGGATTGCAGCACCATAATCCCCAGCCAGCACAGCTAGAGGGTGAGGAAAGCTACCGGGACAGTCTTGCCACAGAGTTCCAGCTCAGGGATTTGCGTTTTGGAGTGGAGGGGAGGTACAACTTACTGCCCCCTAATGCTGTCTCTGCCCTCCCAAGAAAGGGTCCTCAAAGGAGACGGTTCCTCTACAGACTTGTGGGTGGCTTTTAATAAGTAGAAATGTGGATTCTTCCTCTCCCAAAGCTTCAAAGGCTGCCTGAGGGTCTTCTGACCTGCCCTTTCCCCCACCAACAGGCTGTCCTACTGCTCTATTATGCCCCATGGTGCGGCTTCTGCGCGTCTCTCAGTCACGTCTTCATCCAGCTGGCTCGGATTCTGCCCCCCCAGCGCTTCATTGTGGCAAGGTAGGCAGACATGTCCCAAGCGGGGTCATTTCCTCGTCCTGAAGAGGGAGAGAAAAGCCCACCTCACCCACTTCTGGCAGTGGAAAGCCCACCAGAGCCGGCTTTGGGGTTGTTGGTGCCATTTTGGGGGAATGCAATAGCTGGAGTGTAGCTCAGAGAGCGCAGGCAGTCTGGGGGACATGTCTGGCTCTTCATCTCCAGCCGGGATCCCTCGTGGCTGATCCTGCCCAGTTCCACCTTGGAAGCTGCAGGAGAGGAAACTTTGAGGGCACAAAGAATCTCCATGGGGCTTTCTAGGGAGAGAAGGGGGGAGGAGGAGGAGGTGGCGGCTTTCCTGTCGATGGATGGTAAGGGGAAGCCATTGGGTGTGCCCCCCCCTTCAGCACGCACTCTGTTGGTGCTCAGTGACCAGAGGAGAGCAGAGGGCATGACTCACCACTGGTTACACAGCAGCATTACTCAAGTAGGATCAGTGGATGGCTCACACACTTGTGTATTTTAAGGTTTGCCCTTTCTGAAGCTGCTCAGAAGTTAGTGAGACAAATGCTGTCCCCTCCCCCAGCCCCCAAATTTAACTTGTTCTCCCACCTGATCCCCAAACTAAAGAATGACCCCATCTCCTTCTCCCTTACGATCAACATGCCGGGTGTGTTCTGAGGGCCCTCTGCTCCTGGTGTCCCACTTCTGGAGCAGGGAGAGGAAGCCCTTGGGACAGTCAGCTCAGGCCTGGGCTGGCTGACCGAGAGCAGGGCCTCTGAAATTGACCGGGGCTGGTGTCCGGGGAATGGCTGGCATCCAGCCAAGAAAGTGCCTTTGTTTTATCCCAGCAGCATTGTGGGGGGTGGGGGGATGAGTAAGAATGACCAGTCCTGCCAGACTGGTTGGTTATAAAGGACTTGCTCTAAATGAAACAAACTGAGGCCCCAGA